AATATGAGAAAATAAAAAAATGGAAACAAAGTCTGTAAATGGGGAGGGATGAAGGGGTTGAAGGGAGTGCAGGGGAAGGGGGAAAAATAAGAATCAAGAGAGAGTATGTAAAGGTGCAAATTTCCAATGATGAATGTCATTATATTGTATACCTAAAATGCACCAATAAAATTAAACTTAAAAAAAATAAAAAATAAAATAAAATAAAATAGCTTTGTGTTTTGATGACAAAAGGACCTGCCAAGGAAGAGAAAAATTCAACAATTTGGCTGCTGTTTGCTCATTTGTTGAAATCTTTGTTTTGAACTGTCAAGCATTACACCTTTCGAATATATGACAATTGACATACAACTTGCATCATTTCATGGTTGTTGATGCTTTTGGCAATATATGCCAAGCAAACCTCCCAAATGTGGTGTAAAATATATGCCCTGATACTTGTGAAGACATTTTAGACCTTGAATTTAGAAATTTATCCTGGAATTCAGCCACCAGGTCTGTCTTTGTGCAGTACTAAACCGTATGACTTTGTGAACAGACTTGTTGCATCCATTTTAAAAAGTGATGCAAATGTCACAGTCAACAATTGGTTTACTAGTTACTCACTGATATTACATTTGTTAAAAGAACACCAGTTGACCGGCACAGTAACTATTCACAAGAATAAAGCCAAGATTCCTGAAAAAATGTTTCAAGTTCACAATAGAGGAATGTGTAGTACAATCTTGGGATTTCAGGAAGACAGAACACTGGCCTCCTATATGGCAAAGAAAAACGAAGTACTATTGATACTGTTGACATTACACCATGACGATAAGATTGATTGTGAGGCTGGGCATGGTAGCACATACCTGCAATCTCAACACTCAAGAGGCAGAGGCAGGAAGAACCTGTAAATTCAAGTTCACCCTGTGCTACATAGTGAGCTCAAGGCTAGTCTGGACTACACAGGGAGACTCTATCTCAAAACAGACAAAAACAGATTGATAGTGAATCCTCAACACAAATGAAGTCAGAAATGGTCACATTTTACAACAAAATGAAAGGCAGAGTAGATGTTGTTGAGTTATGCAGCAACTATCATGTCACTTGAAACACAAAGCGCTGGCCAATGATTGTGTTTTACTTGACCCTAAACATGTCAGGCATAAACAGTTTCATAGTTTACAAAGAAAATAAGAAGCACAAAACATCATGGAGAAATTTTCTTAGAGGATTGGGACTGGAATTGATAAAAGATCTGCCCAAAGAACTCCTCAAAAGAATTCTGGAGCAGACTGATGAACAAATAGGCGAAACATCACAAGAACCTCCTAAGAGGTTGAATATGTCTTACCAAAGAAGACAGGAAAACAAAACACATGTGCTATCAGTGTAAGCCATACTTGTGTATGGAACACGCTGTTCTCCTGTGTGAAGACTGCCTTAGGTGTGATAATTGAACAAAGATTATTTCTGTGCTAGAGTTTTGTTTGTATTTTCATTGTAGTTCACATAGGAATTTATTTCTGCTGCATTTTTTAGATCTTGTAAGCAGGTAAACAGTTGATGTTTATTCTACACACCCATTACATATTAAAAATTTAGTATTTTATTTTATTAACATTTCATTTTCCTGTTAAGTACACACTGTTTAATATAGTAAAACTCATAAAATTAAAATTAATAATTCATCAATAGAAATACTCCTAAAAAATAAACATGGATGTTACAGTCCCCCATATGCACCTTTTCTAAAAATTTGCCGTGATGTTTTCAGGATTACTGCTAAGTTCCAAATTGTTATTACTTTTTTCAAACATTGCCAATTTCCTATTATCTATCCCTTTTGTCTTTAATTTCTCCCCTCTATTTGTTCATCTGGTTATGGTCATTATTCATTATATAATTTGTCCAAACTGATTTCCTATGGTGTGCATAATTGGGTTTTCTCAGTTACTCAGTTTCTCAAAGTGTTTTATGTCTTATGCATGTTTAATCTGTGGTCTGGGATAAAAGTGGGGGTCCTTTCTCCTTTATTTAGCCAACTGATGAAATAAAATCTAGGTATCTCCAGAAAACCTGCTCTCTTTTGGCAAACATGAAGGTGAGAAAATGTAACAGAATAGCAGGGTTAAAGTAAATTCAGAATTTCAACATATGGAATTCAACTGATTATTTCAAAAGGTCAGATAATAAACTTCACTGAGAAATATATGAAATATTATGCAACTTTTAATGAACTCTAAATTACAAGAAATTTGATTTTTAAATGTTTTAAAAATTAAAGTTCACCCACGAATGGTAACCTTTAGAATCACCTGTGACATCATCATTTCAATGTCAATGACAATTCAAGTCCTAAGTACCTTAGATTCCATGTCCTTCCTTGCTTTTGCTACTTCTTTTTTCATCATCTCTTTGTCAAAAGCTCTTTTCTCTTGCTGAGATGAAAGTTCTTTTTCAAGTCGCTCTGTCTGTCTCTCCAGTTCATTCCTCAGCTGCTCACACTGGATTAAAGCCTGACAGAATGAGAGAGTGAAGGGGGAGTTTAGAAGAGGGAAAGAATAAGGAGAAAATGAGACATTAATCTTTATTTTGATTTAAAATAGTTAAAACTCACTATAAAGTCTATTAGAATGATTTTGTATTTGTTTATCCACACCATTTACTGTACTTATTTGCTCACCTATTTCAAGGTATACAGTTAAGGGTTTATTGACTAATCAGCTAGAAAATTCAGGCAACAGACCTTGCTGAGGGCCATAGATAAGTCAGCATTTGAAAACGGTTCAGAAAAACCATTCGTTCTATTATTTAATTATATATTGTGTTAGTGCTATATAAAACATATAAATTTTACTGATTTCTCATGGCTTCATGAATAAAATTTATTTGAATACTTTAAGTGATAGACAGATAAGAATTTTTAAATAAGATGTTGAATACTGTATTTTATTACACATAGCTTTCTATTGTTTAACACTATATTAGTAAAGATTCCTTAACTGTAAGATTTAGTTCATTCCTTTAAAACATACAACTAAAATAAAAATTAGGTAATAATCAAAAGTTTAAATAAGGAAAGACAAAACAGAATTTACTACTTAGTTTTATGAAGATTCTAATTCTGGTAAAAGTTCATAATTGTCATTTAGCATAAATTTCCCACTCAGCATTTCCAGAAATAAAAACTCTCTAATGTCCTTTTGGCCCCATTTACAATAATACTTTTATATATAATATAATGCCCAACAGTAAAATATGGCTTCAAAAATCATAATTTAAAAAAATCCCAATAAAATGAAGGTGTTATAGTATCTTAGTCTTATCCCAGTCACTCTTATCTATAATACCCACTTCATTCAACTTTTATTTTTCCATCAATTGGTAGAAAGCAACATAAGTCTGCTATGACTTACATACTATGACTATAAGTTTTATAGTCACATTTTTGGTAAGAGGAAACTGGTCTCACCATACGCTTGTCTTATGCATTGTTATACTTCCCTCTTGTGAAAAGTATAATAAATACAGACAAATATTTCTAGGATGTGTGAATTTTCCTTAACCTAGAAAGCAATAAACTTCAAAAAAAAAATTTGAGGGGGATTTCTTCTGCAAAGTTTCTATGCTCCTAGGCACACATAAAGTATGAGGGCAAAATTCTATTGCATCAAATTAACTTAAGAACCAAGATAGATTATGTAAAAGTACAAATTTCCAATGATGAATGTCATTATATTGTATACCTAAAATGTACCAATAAAATTAATTAAAAAATAAATTCTAGTTGAGAATGCTTGGGAAAGAAAACTTTAAATTAGATTTTAAAAGAAATGAAAAGGCATAATTTTCCCATGACTGAAACCCTTAGAGCTTGTAATATTATGAATCAGTGACTTTGGGACATCAAAATGCAATTACTCTTGTAAAAAATATTTTATACCAAGCTGATAACTTTCACTGAAATAATGAATACTACTTGCATGATTACTGAATGCAGGCCAATATATCCAATCTAAAGGTTTTCAACTAAACAAGAACTCAGGAATCAACACTGTTAAGTACAGGAATAGTAAAAGAATGCCGAAGACCTCAAAATCAGGCTCCAATGAAGGGCAGCTAAATAATCTATTCAAAGAAATTACTCAGTTCAGCAACAAAGAATAAATGATCCTGCTAGGATAAGAGGCCATTTCCCAAAATAAGATGATTCTTCAGAAAGCACAAAGTAGCCAGGTATTGTGGTACACTCTGCAATCCCAGCACTCTGGGAGGCTGAGGCAGGAGAATGGCAAGTCTGAGCCCAGCTTGGGCAACTTAGTGACTTAGGGAGGAGACCACGTCTCAACATAAAAACTAAAAAGAGCTGAAGAAGTAGCTCAGTGTAAGGGCCCTGTCTCAAAATTTAAAAAAATTAAAAACTAGGTTAATATCTGGTTATTGATGTCTCTTTATGTCTACCCACTGATTCCGTATTTTTTTCACTTTTTCTGAAGTACTAAGGATTGAACTCAGGGCCTCTGCACTGAGTTACATTACCAGTCAGTCAGTTGGTTATTTATTTATACATTTTGAGACAGGGACACAGTGTGTAGGCTGGGCTACAACTTGTGATCCTCCTGCCTCAGCTTCCCAGAGTTCTAGGATTATAGGTACACACCACAATCCTGGTGAGTTTTCACTGTACTTCTATTTGCTTCGTGTTTTTTTGTTTGTTTGTTTGTTTTGGTACCAGGAATTGAACTTGGGACTTTGCGCTTGCGAGGCAGGCAATGGAACCACTGAGCTAAATCCCCAGCCCAATCAACATCTATGTCTGGTCATAATAAAGAAAATATTAAGGATTAGTAACAGTTGGAAATAGAAAACTGATTTATCCTTTCTAAAAATATCTCTCTTCTAATGAACCTCACTAAAATATCTTGGCCTTATAACCAATAATTAATAAACTATTAGTACTAATGTTTTCTCTTTTAATTAGTGTAGGGCTTCCTCCTTATTTTCCAGAATCCCAGCTGACTGTTCCCCTCCTCCATTATGCTCAACTTAGCCATCATTAAAGGCATAAGGGCTGAGTTCTCAAAGACTAGGCCAGTGAATGGTCAACTACAAGGAGATGACATCTTCATAGATGACTAAGTCAATGGGCCTGCATTGCATTTCTCCCAGGAGAAGTGGGGGTGGTGGCTTCTTCTATTCCCTTGATCAGAATGGCTACAGATCTTAAGGAGCTGGGAAATTATACCTTCTCCCATTCAGCTGATTCAATCCTCAAAGGACCATTTCTTTTCTGGGAAATTTCATTATTTGTCATTGTTCTATGCTACACCTGCTTCAAAACATAATTCACTGGACTTAATATTCCTTGTCCTATTTTTACTAAACCAAAGTGTATGCCTTACTATATCAAAAGACCCCCCAAAATTATACCCAATAAAATTTATATCTGGTCAACTTAGTTTTTAAAACAGAAAACTTATCTTAAGACATACAAATAAAAGTCCTTCCAATTGCTACGGCTGCTTTTCCAGAAATGCTAGTACTAGTGATAGAAGAATTTGTGACTAAAGAATTAGATATGAGAAAGATATAGTATACCTATGAACATAAACTTTAGAACTTATTAACATGTTTTACCTTTATGAAATAAATCCCATAAGATGATCATCTACACATTTAAACATGAAGCTTATGAATTCAAATTATTGACTGTGATTTTTTGTTTTAATTTAAAAAAATGATTATTAGTACATGTTTGCAGTACATAATGACTACATACATCATGGGGAGTTGGTACATATGTATAACATATTTTCATTATTTTTACTTCCCCTTTGATTGTAATTTATAAACACCTGCTTAACAGAAGCTTGTTATTCTATCTTTATCTCTTATTTTCAAGATACAGTCATGCCACACTCTAGAAATGTATCATTAGGCAACTTCATCAGGCAAACAATACAGTTACATAAACCTAGATGGTGGAGGTCAATCATCTGATGTTGCCTCTTGATGCAATCAAGAAGTGCAGTAAACTTGAAATGTATAAAGCTGCTGCTAGTGTAACATAGCATACTGTTTTACAATAAACTTTTTTATAAGTAGAAAGAATGCATTCCAAAATAGTAAATGCATAAATCAGTAACATACAATCATTTATTACCATTATCAAGTGTTATGTATTATACCTAATTGCACGTGCTATATATTTTTACACAACTGGAAGCCCAGTAGATTTTATTGCATCAGCATCACCAAAAATACGAAAGTAATTTGTTTCACTATGACCTTAATAAGGCTAAAATGTCACTAGGTGATAGGAAATTTTCAGCTCTGTTGCCTTAAGGTTCCACAGTCATATATGCAGTCTGTCCCTGATCAAAACATTGTTATGCAGCACATAACCATACTTATAACTGTTTTTGTTTTGTAGTAAATAATATGCATGCCAAGGAGCATTATTTTCTATGCTTGTGGCCAAAATCAAATGCTCATGTTTTTCTGATTTTCTTTCTATGCTACATTTCTAATTCCTGACTGATTCTACAGTCACTACTGATTCCTGATTCTACTGCAATCCAAGAAACAGAATAATTTGTTTTTGCTTTTGTTTTTGGTACCAGCGAGATTGAACTCAGGTCCTTGCACTTGCGGGCCAGGCGGTGGAACCACTGAGCTAAATCCCGGGCGAAACAGAATAATTTGGATACTTGAAAAGGGTAAAAATTAGGTTTTGGAAGCATTTATCCAACCTATCAGGTTAGTTTTTTTGGAGGGGGGGTACCAGGGATCAAACTCCGGTCCTTGGCTTGCGAGACAGGCGGCAGAATCACTGAGCTAAATCCCCAGAACCTGCGGTTGGAATTTTTAAAAAGGTCTTTCTTTAGAGGGTTATCTCAGGATATGCCCATTCCAAGTACCTCCGAGGCGTGTGTCTTCAGGCCTGCCAATACACCTCTCAACAATTCCCCTTCCAAGACAGGTAGACAGGGGTGAAGCCTGCTAACCTTTACCAACACGTCACTGAAAATCCTCTACTATTCCACTCTCCTGTATCCCCAGGTTAATTTATTTTGGTGTCTTAAAATTACCCAGAATCGTACTAACTCGAAATTTTCAAATAAAACATTCACTGAAAAGTTACTATGTGTCAGGTATTTTGTCAAGTGGCTTACATGGACTCGTTTAATTAACTCCATAAATAAATTTTCAGTGGTTCTAACTCAGTTGAAGAAACTTGGACTTTGAGACTTTAAATAATTTGTCCAAATCACAGATCTAGAAAATGGAAGAGTAGAGATTTGATCCAAAGTAGTCCCATACCAGAATTCGTGAATGGCACTGTAATCTTCTCATTATACACATATTTTCTTAGAAGAATCCTTAGGCATATACACTGCCACTATAAATGTAAATACACAATGTAAATAAAATAACTACCCTCTTAGTATGCAATACACAAATTGCACGCTAGATGGCAACAAATGCCAAGGAAAGAAAGAACAAAGTCCTAGCTCAGCAATAAAAGTTGTAGTTGGTTTTCAAATTAAAATAGCAATACTCTAATGTTTTAATACTCTCTGGAAACAAAATTCATATATTTTAACACATCTTCTAGATAAAAGCTACTAGACTTGCATTACATATTGAAAGTGCTTAGTAATTCTTGTGTTAACTAATTCAGTGAAAAATGCTAGATTCATAATACACAATGCCTTTGTGTTCCTAATTTAAATTTTAAAAAGAATTAATTATAAAATTTCACAGTAATGTTTAAAACTAATGATTGGTTTCTATTCACCAAACATTTACTGTGCAATTAATATGTAAATGGTCTTATGAGGAATATACTGGTAGACCTGTCACAGACCTGATTTTCAAGGCCCTTTGGTGGAAAGAGTTATATAAACAGCCAGGAAAACATTATAACATTCAGTAGGAATACGGAAGAGGAAGAGATTAATTCAAATGAGAAGTTGGGAAAACTTCTGGGAACACTGTCCCTGAGTTGAATGTCTGTTAAATGGCTATTTCACAGACTAATACAGGGCCAAAAAAGCATTAGCACAAGTAAATTCTTGAAAATGGCCAATTGTAGTTCACATCCTGGAAATGAGAACAGCTTATATGAAAGAGTGTAGTGAAAGTGAGGTGTAGAAAAATTAGATCAGGGCCAGACTTACTATGAAAGATCTGTAAGGACATGCTAATTTTATTTTACTGCAAAAAGGGAGTCACCTGAATATGGAGATTTATAATTCAGAAGCTAAGGCAGCAATGTAAAATATGTGGAGGAAACCAACCAAAATGCTACTGCATATAAAGACTTGAGCCAGGCTGGGTATCACTGGGATATCAGTTACTCAAAAGGCTGGGGCAGGAGAATCACAAGTTTGATGCCAGGCCAGGCAACCCTGTCTGAAAATAAAAAGTAAAAAAGGCTGAGGTGTAGCTCAGTGATGGAGTATTTATGCAGTATGCATGAGACCCTAGGTTCAATCTCTAGTAACACAAATACACACACACACACACACACACACACACACACACACGATTTGGGCCAGGGCAGGGGTACAGGAATGGAAAGGAAGGCACAGCTAAATTGGGGGCTCAGAGAGGTCAGAGGCTGGCAAATGACTGGATGTCAAGAGTAAGGATGAGGGACAGCCAAGATATTTTAATGAATGTAAGCTAGGGCTATTGGTAAGATATTGATACATTGTTTGAAAACAACAATGCAGAAAATAGTGAAAGGAAAAGAAGGGATAGATGGGAAGGTGGAACAAATGAATAACTTGGTTGTGTAGTACATGCCACTAGTATATCATTCATATAAGGAGTCTAGTAGCAACAAGAAATGTAGGTCTGGGGTTCAAGAGAGCCGTTAGAGCTAAAAGCATAAGGTGGGGTTTGTGCTCAAACACAAATAAAGGTTTGGTTATGAGAAGAGGTACAAATTCCAGGAAATCGAGCCAACATGGGCAGAAGGCTAGGAAGGAGCTCTGAGGAATGTCTATATTTAAGGGTTGTAGAAAAGAAGTTAAACCAGAAGAGTAGACAAGAACCATACAAGATGATCCAGAAGAGTAAAATATCAGCTAAATGAAGGGAAAAGATGCAATGCTGTGTTATAATAGGACAGGTAATGGATTCCAAAACTACATATAGGGTTGGAGCGGAGTTAGGATTGGATGATGTCACTGGATTTGGTAATCAGAAAGTGCCCAGTGATGGATCGTTAAGTGAGTGATTCAGTAGCATGAAATCATGCTGTCATTTGTTGAAAATCTGACTGCAATGTGATCAGAAGTGAAAGGAAAGCTACCAGGGTAGATAACTGTAAGGTCTTCCAGTGAACTGATGGATGGAAGGTAGAAAGCTCAGTGGACGTGGATCATGTGAAGCCCGCTTTTTGTTTCAGGAACAGCAGTTATATAGACAACTGGGAGTGGGACAGTGGTGAAGGAGGAAGGGGGATGCAGGAATGAAGTCGTTGATGCAAGTGGGAAAGGGTGCTAAGACCCTACAAGCAAGTGACATGAACAGCTTAGAGAAAGACATTCATCTTGGGAAAGAGGAAGGTCAGAAAGAAAGAAAAAATGAGTGGAAGTGACACTTAAGGGGTCAGAAGATGTTGAGATGGGTCATCTGTTGAGAGTGAGGTGCTAGGGCTGGAGGTGGCAAAATAAGGAAGTGGAGTCCCGCTAAGGAGCATATAATGGAGTCAATTGCAGAGAAAAAATGGTCAAGCAGCTCTTATGACTATGTTCTGAAGTCTATGGCTATTCCTCTGCAATGGAACTCAGTTGCTAGCTTTCTTAAATTCAGCAATGGTTGGCAGGATGAAAACAGCATTAGAAAAAGAACCATGTGTGACTGAGAATAACCTCCCCTAGCAACTGACAAAGCAGATAAAGTGGAAAGGCAAAGCTAAAGGAATTCTAGAGTGCTAGGGAGAACAGAGTCGAATTCCTCAGTGGGTGTTACTGAGTCCCTAAGCAATGTAACAGTGAACAAGGTGGGTCCCTTCTTTATTGTCAGAGATTTCAAAGTTTAATAAAGGATGCAGACAAGTAATAATAATACATTTTGATAAATGTTGTACTAAGGAGTGGTTCGTAGCTGGGGTAAATTTGCTAGGCAAGAAAAGTGTTATGAAAAAAATTCAAGAAAAGCTCAGAAATAAAGACTTGCACCCAATGACTGGTTGGAAGCTAACACTGGAGGCCAGGATGCCATCCACTTTCCCATTCAGGACACTGTAGAGGACAAAGGTATCATTCACTGACTTAGAGAACACACAGCAGCAGACTTGGGGGTGTGCGTGAATATAAGGAGTGCTATTTGAGATTATAAAATTCATATTTAAGTGAGAAGGGAAGAAGACCAGACCTAACACAAAAGAAGAAAATTCGAGAGATCTAAAGGGAAGAGGCTGGAGAACCAGAGGCAGGAATGAGGACATGGAGCAGACTGAACTAGGATGGGGAGGGAAGAAGAGAGAAAGCTTTGGTTAGAGAGTGGTTTCAGAATTTGAGATCTTAGGGACACTTCTGTGGGTGTTACAGTAGCCTAGGGAGAAAATGTTAGAGTTACCAAGGTTGAAGAGGGTTGGTGTTGCACATATTAACAACATGGATGTTGAAACCTTTAAGGATGATGAAAGGAGATAGGATGGAGGGGAGAGACTCAGATGCTAAAGCTCTTTTTTTTTGTACCAGGGATCGAACTCGGGTCCTTGTGCTTACACAGCAGGCAGCGAAACCACTGAGCTAAATGCCCAGCCCTTAAAACTCTTAAATGTGTCAGAGTGTTTTCTAGATAGGGACTTTCTGATAAGATTAGGGAGCACTGAGACTCACAGATTTCAAAAGGAAAGTGGTAGCCAAATTTCAAAGAGGAATGCTAACCAAAAGCAGATGCCCAAACAAAGGCCTGGAAATGGCAATAACGAGTGAAGTAAATGCTAACTCCTCTGTCGTAGCCACATGAGATGAAATGAATTCCAGAAGGGCCTTTGCTGGAGGTTTTGAGAGGCAGAATATCGTCAGTCGATGGTGACAGAGTTCAGAACAAAAGAAGAAATATATGAGGGAGTTGGGTCAGAATGAAGCAGAGAGAAAGAGAGAGAGAGAGAAAAATTCAGATTTCGAGCACCTCAGATTAGAGATGCTCAGCCAGTTCACCCTATCCAATACAACTTTTGAATGATGAAAATATTCTATACCTGCGCTGTCACTATGGTAATCACTGGCTACCTAGGCTATTAATCACCTGAAGCATGGCTGTCGTGTTTAGCAAAAATACAAAGCAACTTTAATGGCTCTCCACTGGTGAAGAACCCATGGCACCCATACTGAAGTGGGCTGTTTGTGTCATTGAAAGCTCTAAAAGGTTCGCCATCGCTGGTTTAAGCTGCATCCTCAAACACAGCAACGAACCAAGAGTAACCGCCTATTATTCAAAGTTCTTGGAACTCAGAACAGCATCTGATCATCAGTGTTGACTACTGTTGTCATTATCATCATGAAGCATGTTTGACTTAGCTTACAATGGAGCCAAACTCATAGTTAAAATGTTACTAAATATATGTATATTACCATGTTTGGCATACGTAGATGTTCTAAAATTTTCCCAGGTATAGAACTTGTCTTTAGTCACACACAACATATACAAATGATTATGAGTGCTAAGATTTTCATAGCATTGAAAAAATAGTAAACAAAGAGATAAAAATATGAGGCATACTCATCTCTCAAAGTATTTTACCATATTGTACTACAATCTTTAAATCGTAAAACAACAGAGCATTTGCAGAGAAATAAGAATTCTCCAAATAGCAAATTTGTTCAACATAGAAAAGTCAGCATTAACACACTGATATTTTCTTTGTGTGTTTGGGAAAAGCTTAGTTATGGAAGAAAAGCCCCAGAAATACTCAGAAGAAAAAAGAGCGGTCCTGTAATGCCTTTATGTTCACCCTATTAAACTTGCCTTGGTCTTTTCAAAGTTGGCTTCCTCAGTCATATGCACAGCTTCTTTCACCTGCTCAAAAGCCCTCGTTTCTCTCTGCTGCCCATCTGCCAAGCTGCTCCTTACGGAAATGAGCGCAGACATTAAGTCGTCTCTTTCCCTGTCGGCACAAAAGGAACATTCAGAATAAGAAATGATCAAATGATGCATACTCCGAACTCGGGGAGGGGGAAGCGTTAGTACATATGAGAAGACCAGGGAGGGCCAGCTCAGCACACAGCAAAGCTCAGCCCAGAGAATGGCCCTCTGTCCTCATTTGGTGAGCACCTAAGGCCGGGAGCATTCCTGGTAGGCCACCATCTGCATGGGACAATAACCTACTGTGGGAAGGGCTGGAATGCTGAGGGCTGCTGGTGGAGCCTTAAAAAGAGTAAGTTAGAAAAAGGGAGGGGAAGCTGAAAAAGAGAAAGGCATCAAAGTGACCGGTATTGTATCTCAAAGTAGAAGTCAACACTTTTAAGAGGGGACTAAGTAAAAGGCAAAAGACTTTGTGTCATTGGAAGAGAACCAACTTTGGTTTCATAAAGAAAGAGGGAGAAGAAGAGAAGGAAGAGGAGAAAGAAGAGCAGAGGGCCGGGGATTTAGCTTAGTGGTTTCGCCGCCTCCTGTGCAAGCACAAGGACCTGAGTTCAATCCCTGGAACCAAAAAAAAAAAAAAAACACAAAAAAACTCCAGTTGTATTAGATCCACCAAAAACTGTAAGGATGATTTCACTGAGGTTATTTAAAATGCAGTTTTTATCTGGATTAGTAAGTAACTTACTAAACAAGTCAAAAGAATAAAGGAAAAATACTAGCATTTTAAATTGCCAGTACAGAGCTCTAAATTTAAGTACATATGTTTAAAGTTTTTATCTTGAGAAGTGTGGTAAAGTAAAATTTTTCTGATTCTGAAAGCTTTTTTTTTTTTTTGTATTTTTTAAAACCAAAGCATTTATTGTAAGTAATCATTGAAATTCTCAAGATGAACTGGATGCTGCAACAGCTGCTCTCTTGGGTTTAGGTGTTGTTCCTTCATGGAATCCATGCCTGAATCTGCGATACACAATTTTTAGGTGCCTCATTCTCCCGGTTTCGGTGGTATTTCTCCTTTTAGCCTTTGCACTCCAGTTACACTTTCTCTTGCGCTTGACAGG